TGCTTGCCACTGGGAAATGAGAGGCTTGATAATTAGCTTACTGAAAACTCAAACCCATCGCAGGTGAGTCCATTCTCAATTCAGTGTCCCTGTAGGTCAGACTATAGCTGCCCCAGAGAGTTTTCAAAGCTGTTTGGTGTGGTGCTGTATGTTAAGTCCTGCACTATTAACTATAAGGTTAGCGGTTTGAGCCCACCTTGGTGCCACTTCCTTGGAAATCCTAGTAGACAGGGTGACTTGATGGCACTCAGCAACAATCTTTATAATAAAGAAGCAGGCAGCACCATCTTTCTCCCCCTGGAGCAGCTGGTGAGTTTGAACCACTGACCTTTGGTTAGTAGCTGAGCACTTTAACCAGTGTGCTACCAGGGTTCCTTAATGAACCTCTGTATGTGTATTAGGTGCTGTTGAGTCAGTTCCGACTCATAGCGACCCTGTGTAGGGTTTCTGAGGAGCAGCTGGTGTGTTTGAACTGCTAACCTTGTGGGTCACACACAGTCCAGTGCTGATCCTCTACCAGGAGCCCTTAATGAACCTACTAAAGATTAAAAAAAAAAAGAAGAAAAAGGCTCCCATAGGTGGAATTAACTGTATTAATATACGTGAATTGGCTACAATATCTAAGATTCACTCTCTAACACTGTTTGAACAGAATAGAAAAAGCTGAGTGCTATATCCAGCTGTTCATTTGGTATTGTGAGTATGATACCAGGAGAATTGTGAGGCTGGCCCAGGACTGGGCAGTGTTTCCTTCTGTTGTGCATAGGGTCGCTATGCGTTGAAACTGACTCAATAGCACTTAACAACAAAAGCAACCACAAAGCTAAAACCTCACTGCTGTCAAGTTGCTCCCAACTCCCAGCGACCCTATAGGAATGAGCAGGAGACCCCTAGGGTTCCCAAGGCTGGAGTCTTTATGGAAGTATACTGACACATCTTTCTCCTTTGGAATGGTTGTTGCTATGTGCCGTGGAGTCGGTTCCGACTCACAGTGACCCTGTATAGGGTTTCCGAACCTGTAAATCTTTACGGGAGCAGAAAAGCTCTTCTTTCTCCCACGGAACAGCTGATAGTTTTGAACTGCTGACCCTGAGGTTAGCAGGCTGATTCATAACCATTACACTACCAGAGCTCCTTTGGAGTTGTTGTTGTTAGGTGCCATTGAGTCGGTACTGACCCATAGCAACCTTATACACAGAACGAAACACTGCCCGATCGTGGGCCAACCTCACTACTGTTGCCACACTTGAGCCCATCGATACTGCCACTTAGCCAATCCATCTTGCTGGGGTCTTCCTCTTTTTCTCTGACCCTCCACCTTCTCCAGCGACTGGTCCCTCCTGACAATATGTCTGAAGTATTAGAGACGAAGTTTGGCCATCTTGGCCTCTAAGGAGCACTCTGGCTGCATTTCTTCCAAAACGGATCTATTGGTGTGGTTGTTGTTGTTGTTGTTAAGTGCCATTGAGTCTATTCCAACCCATAGCAACCCTGTATAGGGTTTCCAAGGAGCAGCTGGTGAGCTTGAACCACTGACCTTGCAGTTCAAATGGCTTTGTAGTCTGGCGCATTAACCCACATAGCCACACCAGGACTCCTTGGTGTGCTTAGTGGGTCAGTTCCAATTCATAGTGAACCTGTATAGGGTTTCTGAGGAGCAGCTGGTAGCTTAGCAGTCCAGTGCTTTTCCTATAGTGCTAGGACAGGCTTTAAAAAAGAGAAAGGGAAAACATCTTGCCTTTGGGATGCTCACTTTTTCAAAACATGTAAAGTGGAGGTTGCACCACCAAAACAGATTAAATGCTACAAACTCACAGAATGTGCTTGTTAGGTACCCTTGAGCCTTGCAACCTTTATACAACAGAATAAATCACTGCCCAGTCCTGCACAGAACTTAGTGCCACTTACAGGTATGAATTTGTGTATTGGTTGTTGTTGTTGTTAAGTGCCCATCGAGTTGGTACCAACTCATAGTGACTTTATGCACAGCAGAACTAAACACTGCCAGATCCTGGGCCAACCTCACTACTGTTGTCACGCTTGAGCTCATTGATGCTGCCACTTGGCCAATCCATCTCACTGGGGGGGGGGTCTTCCTCTTTTTTGCTGACCCTCCACCTTACCAAACATTCTCCAGCAACTGGCCCCCCCTGACAATGTGTCCGAAGTATGAGAGACGAAGTCTGGCCATCTTGGCCACTCTGACTGCACTTCTTCCAAAACAGATCTGTTGGTTCTTTTGGCAGCCCATGGCACTTTCAATATTCTCCTCCAACACCATAACTCAAAAGCATCAATTCATCTACAGTCTTCCTTATTCACTGTCCAGCTTTCGCATTCATATGAGGTTATTGAAAATACCATGGGGGCTTTGGTCAGGCGCACCTTAGACCTCAAGCTGACATCTTTGCTCTTCAGGACTTTTAAAAGGTCTTATGCAGCAGATTTGCCTAGTGCAATACATCCTTTGATCTCTTGACTGCTGCTTCCATGAGTGTTGATAGTTGATCCAAGAAGAATGAAGTCCTTGACAAGTTCAGTCTTTTCTCCATTGATAAGAATGTTGTTTATTGGTCCAGTGATGAGGATTTTTGTTTTCTTTATATTGAGATGTAATCCATACCAAAGGCTGTGCTCTTTGATCTTCATCAGTAAATGTTTTAAGTCCTCTTCACTTTTAGCAAGCAAGTTGTATCATTTGCATATCACAGGTTGTTAATGAGTCTTCCTCCAATCCTGATGCCACGTTTTTCTTCATATAACCCAGCTTCTCGTATTATTTGCTCAGCATACAGGTTGAATAAGTATGGTGAAAGAATACAACCTTGTCGCACACCTTTCTTAATTTTAAACCATTCAGTGTTCTCATGTTCTGTTCGAACAACTGCCTCTTGAATTTGTATATATCGGTTCATTAAATTTCATGTCTGGGCTTTGTGCACCTGAACTTGCCCTTAGACCTTTTATCATAACCTGGTAGTCGGCAGGTATTGTTGATCTGATCCTCTGGAGGTTTCTGGGGCTACTGCTAGGGATCAGAACTACGAAGCCAGCAGGTAAGGCATAATTGTGTCTCTTGGCCTCTAAGGGCTGTGTGGCCTGCATTTCTACTGGGCCACCTGGGTCCTAGTGTCAGGACACAGCTTGGACCTGAGGCTGCCTCTAGCTCTTCATACCACCCCAAGTTCTAGTCACAAATCCAACTGCTCTGGGAGGAGGGACAGATACAACACCCCAACCAGGTAGTACAGAAGGGCGGGAAGGCCCTTAAGAAGCAAGGTGGGAATGAAGCCACATGAGCCAGCAAGATCAGTGAAAGCCTCGGTTTAATTAGAGACATGATCGAAGGATTGATTATCGATCAACAGACCGATTGATCATCAAGTCGACAACATACAAGAAACTCAAGGGGGTCCTGCACCCACCCTGGGGAGAGGAGCCCTGATTACTGGGGATGGGGACCCAGCTTGCCAGTCACCTCTGGATCTCGGGGAAGAGTGAGGGGGCAAGCTCTGCCCAGCCCTCGACCCCCACAATGACACGGCTTCCCCAGTCTACGGTATAGTTTATATAATACAACGGGAGTGAACATTCTCCTTCCGGAGGCCCCTCCCTCCTTTTCCGGGCAGGGGCAACCAGGGAAGGGCAAGTTTTATATTCCCTTTTTGCCTCTGTAGAATAATTTACGAACCAACCTTATAGCATGTACAAAAGAAAAAACAAAACAAAACAAAAAAACCCACTCTGGTGGTCGGCTACGACAGAAACAGACCCTGCACAGCGTCCTGGGAATGGACACCAGTGTTCTCACCGCTGGGATGGCCAGATGGAAGGCTAGGCTGGGAGACAGGGTATAGGGTGAAAAAAAGGGGGTCTTTCCTTCTAAGCAGTCCCCCATGGCTTGGAGAAGGTGGTTTTATATCTGTCCTCATATTGAACAGGGAAATAGCAAAGGTGAGGGGGCAGGTGGAAAACAGGGAGGGGCAGCGACGGAGAAATTACTCCTGTGCTGGGGTAGGAAAGGGGTGCCCAGGAAGGGGGATGTGGGTGTACACCATTATTGCTTCCTCCTAGGGCAAAGTCTGGAGGGGGCTGGGAGGATGGGGGGGAGTACCCAGGATGGGGGCTTGGGCCCTGGCCCTGACTCACTCCAGGTGCAGCTGAGAGCCACTGCAACCCCCTCTCCTGTGGTCACAGGGACGGTGGGGGAGGGGGGTCATTAAGGCAGAAACAAGAGGAGAAGCAGCTGGAAGGGGGTTGCAGATCAGAGCGCACCCCCAAAACGGAAACAATTCCAAATGAACTGGAAGAGGCAGGGGGTGACAAGTGGAGGGAGGTTCGAGCCTTTACCAATTCTCAGGCCAAGGCTGGAGGGTGCGAATGACCCTTCATTCCTAAAGTGAACAGTTGCCCAACACCCCCATCTACCCAGGCAGTATTGCCAGGTTTGTGCAAAATAAAGCGGAAGACTTCGGAGGGGCAGGAAGCCAGGGAGGGGCTGGAGCTGGGGCCTCCCATAGTGACCCCCAGCCCTGCCCAGATGGCTATTCCTGGCTGGGTTCTAGAGACCCTCCTAAATTCAGGAGAAAAGCTTGGGAGTAGGAGTGGACTCCCCATCCCTGGCTTGGGCTCGGGCTGAGAGGTCGGAAGACTGAGCCAGGAACCTGGGGCGGGGATAAGGGGAACAGGAACATCTACAGTTGCTGTGTTTCATTCTTTTTTTTTTTTTTTTTTCTCTTTTTTCTAAAAATGTAACAATTAAAATTCAAAAAATAAAATCCCTTCCCAGACCTTAGTCCCTCGTTCCCCAGCCCCCACCTCCAAAACAACGCCCCATGGGTGGGGTGGAGGGAAAAGGGGAAAAAAAGAAAAGAGAAAAAAAAACGACTTTTCTGTTTTCTTTTTTTTCAGGCCCAAGAGTTTTTGAGGCAGCAAAGGAGGTGCTCGGGGAGTGATGGTGACAGGGGGCATGGAGGGTAACAGGACCTGGGGGCTGAGGCTCAGGTGGGGTCTCCCCCTGACCCCCGCCTGCAGGAAGCTTGAAGTGTGGCTGGGTCCTTGTGAATTGTCCCAGCGCAAAAGCTGCACGCTCTCTTGGCAGCCTGCCGGTGGTCTCTTTGGGCCACCCCCTCGGCCGCCATAGAGGGAAGGCCCAAGATGCCCGGAGCCTCCTCTTCAGGAGGTGGGGTCCTCAAGGCAGGAAGAGGGGTGCTTTCACAGGATAGAGCTGGGGGGCTGATGCAGCTTACAGCATCCGGAGCTACAGATACCCCTTGGGACGGAGACTGCTTCTGCTTTGTCGTCCCATATTCAGCTGACTCTCCTGGCTGCGTCAAATGCACTTCCTCTGAGGACATGTCCTGACCCTTGACCTCCAATGGCTCCTCAGCTAGAGATACATCTGGGGCTACAACCGATGTGTCTTCCTCCGTAGTGGACACCTTCTGAGTCGAGGACCATTTTTGCACAGTAGTTGCCACGTGGGCTGTAGTCACTGCCTCCTCCTCTTCCTCCTCCAGGGTTAGCTCAAACTGGAACTTATCAGGTGCAGGTGGCTGGCCTGACCTCCCAAGCTCCTCATCAGGCGGTGGTGAAGGACTCTGCCGAATGGCACTGTAGTACCAGTCACGGTTGTCCTCCAACGTATCCAGGATATCCTGGGCATCTGGGTGGACCAGATCAGCCCACGTCTCCCACAACGGGTGCACGATGTAGTCGATGAAGCCCACCTGGGGGATGAGAGGGAAAAGCATCAACAGGTTGGTGCGCTGCTGTAGCTAGCACGCCATGTTACGGGATTGCTGCAAATTCAAAAGGTGTTTGTAGTACCATGTGACCTGCACTGTGGCTTCTCCAGCTCCACCCTGGGAAAGTTCTTATACAATTAATAAAAAAATTTTAATTACATATAAGAAAGTACACAAAACTGGAAACACCTCAGTCTGTACATCGATGAGGGATTAAAAAAATAAAAATCATGGTACATTATAGGTGTTTATTGCAGGTTATAAACCTAGTGCCACAGAATCCACCTCATGGAAGATGACAGGCTAACAGTCTGACTTCCCCTTCTCTCTCTCCTTGTTTGGAAAAAAAAAGTTTTTCATTTTTGTTGTTGAGAATACGCCTTGCCTATACACAGCAGAGCATACAATAATTCCACGGTTTCTACATGCACAATTCAGTGACACTGATAACATGTTCTTCAAGTTGTACAACCTGTTTGATTCCATATAGGTATTTCTTAAAAGCACATAATGCCCAGAGCAGACATTCTTTACAAGTCAGGCTAAACTATTACTTGGTTTTAAGATGACTTCAGGGGGTATTTTGGTTTATGACTTCAAGATGATCTCAGAGCAATAGTTTCAGGATTTCATCCAGCCTCCATGGCTCCAGAAAGTCTGGATTCCATGAGAATTTGAGATTCTACTCTGTTCCCTTCCCTCCTTAGTTACAGAACTTGTGTGAGGCAATGCATTCAAATGAAAATTCTTTCCTAGTCTCCCTTGCAAAGAGAATGTGGCCAAGTGACCATCTATAGATGGAAGATGCTGGAGATTACCTCAATCGGCATTGGATTTTCCTCCCTAAAGCATAGCCAGTATCTATAGCATCTGTGCCTTTCAGAAGGAACCCTAGTAATGCAGTGGTTAAATACTTGCCTGCTAACTAAAAGGTCGGTAGTTCAAGCCCACCATCTGCTCCATGAGAGAAAGACGTTGCAGTCTGCTTCTCTAAAGATTCCAGCCTAGAGAATTCTCTGAGGATGTTCTACTTTGTGGTATAGGGTGGGTTCTGTGAGTTGGCATTGACTTCATGGCAATAGGTTTGGGTTTGGTTTGGTGCCTACGAGGCATCCCTGAAAATGGAAGCTGGTACACTTCAGGAGATGGAACAGAAATACTGAAGGCTCCTGATACCTGCAGATTTTGTGGCACCTGCATTCCTATGTGTGTGGTTGTTATTGTTAAGTGCTGTCAAATCAGTTCTGACCCACAGAGTGGCTGGTGAATTTGAACTGCTGACCTTGCTGTTCAAACCAACCTTGTAGTCCAGCACATTATCTCACAGCACCAAACCAGGGCTTCTAATGTGTAAGACACTGGTAAAATCTCCAAGTCAATACTGGGAGATAAAAGTGGTGGTGGTGGTGATGTGCCATGGAGTTGGTTCCGACTCATAGCGAGCCTGTACAGGGTTTCCGAGGCTGTAAATCTTTACAGGAGCAGAACGCCGCATCTTTCTCCCGTGGAACAGCTGGTAGTTTCGAACCTTGAGGTTCACAGGCCAATTTGTAACCACTATGCTGTATATATTGATACAATCAATAGCAAAAATAACACAAAAGCGAAACCCACAAACTACTGCTATTAAGTTGCCTATGAACATAATTGTATAAAACATAAAACAGTGGTTCTCAAAGGGGTGGGATGGGAATTATGGGGTTGTTTCTCTCCCTGTCGTCTTTTCAATCGCTCCATATGCATGCAAAAGCTGGACAACGAACAAGGAAGACTGAAGAAGAATTGATGCCGTTGAAGAATTGAAGAAATACTGGCTGCCAGAAGAATAAATAAATCTGTCTTGGAAGAAGTGCAGTCAGAATGTGCCTCAGAGGTGAAAACGGTGAGACTTCATCTCACTCACTTTGGACATGTTGTTAGAAGGGCATCGAGTTTGGTAAAGTAAAGGGTCAGCAAACAAAAACAAAAACAACGAAGACCTCAACGAGATAGAATGACTCAGAGGCCGAAATATTGGGTTCAAACACGAGCTACGATGCTAAGGATGATGCAGGACTGGGCAGCATTTCATTCTGTTGTACACAGGGTCACTATCAGTTGGAGCCCATTTGACAACATCTCGCAACAACAAAGGAGACATGTGGCAATGTCTGGTGATTACTTTGGCTGTCATAATGAGATTAACGGGGTAGGGGGGGAGGAGTTAGTGCTCTTGATAACAAGTAGAGGACAGGGATGCTGTTCAACATCCTACAGTGCACAAGGCAACCCTGAAAGACACTGACGGACCTCCAGATGCAGCTGGAATAGCGCTGTAGATACGACTGGACTGCTAATCATAAGGAGGAGACTGGAAGAGGATGGTGAAAAACCCTCACGTTTGCCCTTAGAGCTGAGTCTTTCATAATGAGCTCGTGTCCCTGTATCTGCTTTTGTAATCCACTGAAAATCAGCATCAGTATTAGTCCCTGGTAGCGTAGTGGCTACAAATCGGGCTGCGAACCTCACAGTCAGCTGTTGGAAACTACCAGCTGTTCCACAGGAGAAAGATGAGGCTTTCTGCTCCTGTAAAGATTTACAGCCTCGGAAACCCTGTACAGGCTCGCTATGAGTCAGAACCAACTCCATGGCACATCACAACAACAACAACAACAACAATTAGTCCCTGGGTAGTGCAAAGAGCTAATGGTCTTGGCTGGTAACCAAAAGGTTGGAGGTTCAAGTCCACCCAGAGGCACTTTGGAAGAAAGTCCTGGAGATGTACTTCTGAAAAAGCAGCCAGTGAAAACCCTCTAGATTATAGTTCTACTCTGATGTGTATGGGGTCACCATGAATCAAATCAACTTGATGGCAACGGGGTTGGTTTGTTTGTTTGTTTGTTTTGGCAAATGCAGCCCACCCCCTGTCTGTCAGTGGAGACTTGAGTGTTGCGATGATGCTGAATAGATGATGCTGAATGGGTTTCAGCAGCGTTCCCAGGCTAAGATGAAGTAGGAAGAAAGGTCTGACAATCTTTTTTCTTAAAACTCAAACAGTGCAAAACCTGTGGATCACAACTGTCAAGTCCCATTTGGTGTGCATGGAGATGCCATGAGTTAGAATGTACTTCACAACACCTAACAACAGTTGGCCATGTTACTGGGGCATTCTGGCTAAAATGACCTAAGATCTGTAAATTAGAATCTGACAAGTATCACAGTCTAGGTGTCATGGGGGTCACTGCAATTGAGTTAGGATTGTCTGGGTGCAGGCCTACCAATGGGCATAGTGGGGCTCAGATTGGCTGTTCTGAGAATAAGACAAGATGGTATATCTCCCATCAAGATGGTAGGGGTGGCTCGGTCTCTCTGCTTCCTGCCACCCTCTGCTGCACTGTACCTGGGACTTCTCCACGGAGGCTGTGTGCTTGTCGCACATGGGGCTGATCTCCATGCCGCGGTCGCGCTCCCTGTCCCCCTGCTGGAAGAATTCTGCCATGATGCGGTCCGTCCACTGGCGGTACAGCTCCAGCGGCTTGGTGGGGTTACTGAGGTCTGCACAGTGCACCATGTTCCGCAGGACCTGTATGGAATGGGCCAGGGGGCTTTCAGAGGCCAAGTCCCAGGACACAGTCCTTAGCATCTATGTAGAGGAGGGAAGGGGAAGAGGCGGGGTGAGTGGGGAGAGATGAAGAGAGCTGGGGGGAGGGCCGGGGTAGGATGGGAAGGGGTGGATGAGGAGCAGTGGGCTATGGGAGACGTAGGAGCCAGGATTGAGCCTAGGGGAAGACCAGCCGGCAGGATGCATACACTGAGGAAAGCGCATGAGGGTCCAGTCATGCTAACCTGGATCCGGTCAGAATAGTTGTCTAGCAGGAGGACCCCTGAGCTGGTCACTTTCTTCGTCTCCACCATGGTCTTCAGGTCAGCCAGGAGGGTCATGTGCTTGGACATATCCGTGGCCAGCACCTGGGAGTACAGGGGTGGAGTTACAGTTCCCCTCCCAAGGAAGCCCCACCCCCAGGCAGAAGGCACCTCCCCCATCCAGGCCTCGCCCTCCCACTGTCGCCGTCTAGGGCTCGGGGAAGTCTCTGGCCTCCCCTCCTCCCGCAAGCTCCACCCCGCCCCGCCCACCATATCGATGACCATCTTGCGCAGGCTCTGCCGCTGGCGCTTGCTGAGGTTCTGGAAGATGTCACAGTTCTCATCCTGCAGCAGCTTGAAGCCCACGGCCAAGTGGTGGTTCTCGAGCACCGACTCATCGTTGTACATGAGTGCCAGCTCCGAATCTGCGGCCCAGGCCTGCGGTCAGGGGCGGGCCCACCGGGAGAGCCCCGCCCCCAGCTCCCCTCCCCCAACCCCACCCTGAAAGGGCCACTCACTGGTGTTGATGAGGAACTGGTTGGAGACCCCAGGGTGGTCTACATCATGGATAGCAGCCGCGAAGAGGGCGGCGAGAATCTCCAGGTCTGTGAATACGGCCTGGGGGTGGAGAGAGGGGACAGAGAGGGAGGAGGGGTCACAGAGTGGGAGGAGTCAGAGACGGAGGAAAGTCCAAGGGAGTCCGAAAAGATAGGCGTTCAAGGATGGGCTGGAGAGATGCAGGGAAGGTGGGTGGGTCCAAGTGGACAGTGCTCACATCCAGCGCAGGTGTGGCCAGAAGCACGTGGGTGGACTGTAGCACATCCGCTGCGTGCAGACTGTTGTGGTAGGCCACGTCCCCATGGTAGTGGTCCTCCAGTGTCAACATGTACGTCACCATTGTGTCCACTGGGATGCGGAACTTCTTCAGCAGATCCCGTTCCTATGGGCAGGCAAGGTGGGGGTGGTGACCCTGCTGGTCCTTAGCCCCACTCCCTGTCCCTTCGAGCACCAGCTCATTCCCCCTACCTGAAATATTGTGTACATGATACAGCTGAGGGAGCGGCCTCCAGCGTAATCCGACACACAGAAGATGTTCAAGCCCCACTTGTTTAGGTTCTCCAGTTCCTGGAGAGGATAGCGGACAGAGGTCAATAGTCTCCAAGTCTCAGAGAAGGCCACCTGGTCTTCTAGACCCTTTTTAGGACTCTGGAGCTCATGGAAATCCTATGTGGTAAGAGAGCTGTCCTTCATAGGGTCCCAATGGCTGAGTTTTCTGAAGGAGACAACCAGGACTTTGTTCCCAGGTGCCTCTGGGTGGATTCGAACCACCAATCTTTTGTTTCGTAGTGAGCATGCTAACTGTCTGCAACACCTAGGCTTGCTAGCACGTTGTTGTTAGGTACCATCAAGTCAATTTTGACTCACAGAGATACCCTATGACGGAGCATAACTGTCCCATAAGGCGTTCTATGCTGTAATCTTTACAAAGGCATCCTGGTGCGGCGTTGTAGAGTTAAGCACTAGAGTGCTAACTGCAAGGTCTTCAGTTCAAACCCACCAGCCCCTCCTCAGAAACCGTATACAGGGTCTCTATGAGTCAGAATCCACTCAACGGCACTTAATAATTAACAACAACAACTACAGTCTTTTCAGGAGCAGATCGCTAGGTCTTTCTCCCACAGAACCAGAGTGGGTTCAAACCTCCAATCTCTCAGTTAGCACTTGAACACTTAATTATTTCACTTGTTGTTGTTGTTGTTATGTGCCATGGAGTCGGTTCTGACTCATAGCGACCCTGTACAGGGTTTCCAAGGCTGTAAATCTTTACAGGAGCAGAAAGCCTCATTTTTCTCCCACGGAACAGCTGGTAGTTTCGAACTGCTGACCTTGAGGTTAGCAGCCCAATTCATAATCGCTACGCTACCAGAGATCCTTAATTGCACTTAGCACAGTTTTTGTTAAGTGCCATCGAGTTGATTCCGACTCATAACACTCTGTATAGGTTTTCTGAGGAGCAGCTTAGTGAGTTTGAACCACCGACCTTGTGGTTCAAAATGATCTTGTGGTCCTGTGCTTTATCCCACAGTGTGCCACACCACATAGTATGTGCTCAATAAGCATGGGTGACTGACTAACTATAGGGCTCGCCAGTACCTGGTGACAAAGGGCTGCAATATGAAGCAGCTGAGTGAACCATAAATTAATCAGAAAGTCCATTGGCTCCAGGTCCTGCAGCAGAGCCAAGAGTTGAACCCAGACCTGACCTGTAGTGGTTGCCATGGGGGCTCTGCCCAGATCCTCTTCACTGGCCAGTACACCCCCACCCCCCACAAGCTGCCTGGATGCTAAGGCCCACAACTGCTTCCTTCTCCCAAATATGGCTTGTGCCTCCATAGGCATTATGTGGACCTGGTGATACCATCAACCCCTGGAGTCCCTAGCCAATGGCTGACATGGTGGGTGGTTGAACATGTGCCAGTGTCCTCTGGGGTATCAGGCTGTGCTCACCTCCTTACTCTGTTCCTTCTTACCCTGCACCGGTCACCCCCTCTTTCCTGATGAAGCAGGCACCTATCCTCAGCTTGGGCTCCGCTTCTAGGGCTCCTGACTTCAGACCTGACCCACATCCCAGTCTTTTGGGCCCCAGGAAACCCTGGCTCTACCTTTCCAGCCCAGACCAGCTCAACTCAGCCCAACCTCCCTCCCAACCCCACCCACTTGGGCCAGGAGTTCCTCTTGATCGGTCTTCACCCCAAAGCGGGGGATGCTGGAGCTGTTTAGGCTATTGCTGTGCATCAGTTTCTTGACACCCGTGATCTGAGACATGGGCTGGAACTGTGGCGCAGGGGGCGAGGGCTGCTGGGGGGGTGGCTGCTGCCACAACGTGGGCTGTTTCTCTTGCTCCTTCATCGTGGGTGATGGGATCTCTACTTCATTCTGCTTGTCTGTAGAAAGGAGGGCAAGGGGCAAGCATGAGCACTGCTAGCTCCCTCCTCTGGTCCACTGTCTGGTACTCCGCTCCAACCACACCGAGAAGCCTCACCGGGGTGGGTGGGCCCCTGCCTCCAGCTACTCAGAGGCTGGAAGCTATTAGTAGGGTAGGCATCCTTCTGAGACATGGTGGGCTGGAGTGGTGACCCAGGGGCTGGCCCGCCATTGTGGGGAGTCCCCAGTCCAGTGGTCAAGCTTGGGAGGAGGATGGTGTGGGAAGTCAGGAAGCAGGGCTGGGAAGCTGGGAACTGCCTCTTCTTGGCCCGGATGACCAGAGGGCCCTCTAGGGCAGAGACAATAGCCCCAGGGTGGCCCAGAATGCTGGTGGGGGGCGGCAGTGTTGAGGTGTGAGACAGGGAAGGAGTGGTCTCAGGATCCATGCCTCCCGCTCTTGGCACCATGGCACAACCGCCTGGGGGCCAGCCCCAGGACCACCTTTCTGAGCCTTGAAGGGTTTCCAGAGTCCAGCCAGGGCCACACTCATTGTGACCTGGGGCTGCCAGTCAATGCTTAAGGACTAAAGGAAATCATTTACATGCCACTCTCCCATTGGCTGGCCCCTCAGAACTCTGGGCACACCACACCCCTTCCTCGGGGGGGGGGGGGGGGGATGGGCACTGAAACTCTGAACCATTCTCATGAACTTAGGGAGTTCTGAATTTGGGGACTTTGGTAATAAACTCAAGAAGCCTTGGTGGCAGAGTGGTTAAGCGCTCAGCTGGGAACCAAAAAGTCAGCTGTTAGAATCCACCGGCTACTCAGAAGGAGAAAGGTGCAGCAGTCCAGTTCCTTAACAATCACAGTTCGGCAGTTCTACCCTACTGGAAACTAACAGGTTTGGTTTTTTTAGTGACGAATTAAGTTGTAATGATGAGATCATCCTGAGTTTGGGAAACAGCCTCAGTTTGGAGGCTCTTGGGTTCAGATGTTAAGATAACATTAAGGTCCCCTTGAATTCAGGGATTCCCATCAATTTAGGAGACCTTACTCTATTCATTGAGTCTTGGTGTGGATTAAGTACTAGACTGCTAAATGAAAGGTCAACAGTTCAAACCCACCAGTTGCTCCTCAGAAAATCTATTTTGTTGTTGTTACTGTTGTCAAGTTGGTTCCAACTCATAGCGACCCAGTATAGGATTTCAGAGGAACAACTAGTGTTCAGACTGCTGACCTTGAGGTTTAAACTGACCTTGAGATCCAGTGCTTATCCTACGGACCCTATACCGGGTCATTAAGAGTTGAAACTGACTTGAGGACAGTTAACAACAGCTTTATTCATTGTTCTATTGGTGTTGGGACATTTTTCCTCCGTTTTGGAAAATCTCTTACAGGTTCTCGAACTTGAGAAAATTCTGTTTGGATTTCTGAAATTTGGGGGTTCTTAAAATTGGGGGCTTCCAGTTTGGGAGGAGGAACCCTGGTGGTGCAGCAGTTAAGTGCTCAACTAATTGAAAGGTCGGCAGTTCTAACCCACCAGTTGCTCCATGGGAGAAAGATGTGACAGTCTGCTTCCACATAGATCAGAGCCTGGGAAACTCTATGGGGCCCTTCTACTCTGTCCAACAAGCGTCTGTGAGTCGGAACTGACTGAACAGCAGTAGGTTTGCTTATTTCTGGGACCCAGCCTGGAGGTTGCTTAATGTGTGTGTGGGTCGTCTGTGGGTTCTTAGGTTTGGGCATGTCTTTTGAATTTGGAGGCCTTCTGAATTTGGGGATAACAACCTAAATTTGGAGAACTGACTGAATTTTGGGCTCTACTGAGCTTGAAAGCCTTTTCAGCTTGGAGACTTTGTGAAGTTTAGGATTTCTGTTAGAGTTTAGGGTCTTGGAGTTTAGGGTCTTCAAGAGTTCTGTTGAGTTTGGGGCTCCACTGAATCTGGAGAGAATCTTCAACTTGGAGTTATTTTTTAAATGCAGAGGTTCTATAGAAGTAGGGTCCCCCACTGAGTATGGAAACGCTTATGCCTGGTGACTTTGACCTTTGGGGAGCTGTGAGTTAGGGTTCCTGGGTATATCTAGGCAGGAGGGTCCAGATTCTGGGGCAGCCCTCTCCAGCCCAGCTGTGCCCCCCATGCCCATCACTCACCCAGGAATGTTGTGGAGATGTATTCAGAGACCTGGTTTCCTGACCTGCTCATCTCTGACAGGTGTGTGAGCTCACGGTTTAGCATCCTCTTGAACTAAGGTGAAGTGAAGGAGGCAAGAAGGAAGAGATGTGGGGGGGTAATGGCTGAGGGGTTCAGCCCTCCCAGGATCTTTCTGAAGACCTGTGAACCACTCCTATTTCTCTGCTTAGACTGAAGAGCCCCTAGCAGACTGCTGGAAGGGAGGGGCAAGCCCATCCTCTTCTCCCAGGCTCTGGACTGAGGTCTCCAAGCTTGGGAGTTGGGGTTTCAGCACCCCCTCCCTGCCTGAGAAAGGGGGCTCCCTCCACCCACAAGGAGGAGCCAGAGGGGCACCTGTGGAGAGGAGGGGCTCCTGTCTACCAAGGAGCCAATGGGGTATCAGGAGAATACCATCACCATGGTGATGGGAGTCTCCTTAGCAACTCCCCCTCCAACCAGCTGCTGAGCTGGGGGGAAAGGAGGGCAGGCTGAAAGCCCCTTAACCCTTGCCTTCCCAGAGATAGCCCTGGCCCAAATCTTCTCAGGCATGGACCCCAATCCCTGAGGGGTCCTGGCCCCCAGTCCCCAAGATAGTTTGGAGAGGAGTATAGTACCCAAGATCTGGTGACAGATTTGGCCTGAGCAGGGATAAACAGCAAGCTGAGGAAACCCCAGTTCAGACACCCTGGGGAGGGGGTCCCCAGCATAGTCTCTCTCCCTTAACCTCAGTGAAGTGGATTGAAGCCCAGACCAATGGGTCATACCCAAAACCAGGCCTGGGGGCCACTCCTGGTCCCCCAGTGTCACTTCACAGAAGCCTCTGCTGTGACATTGTGAGAAAGGGCATCAGTTCCCTGTCCCCCAGGCTCTACTGAAGCACCCCCAAAGCAGAAGCAGACCGCTCAGAGAGGCAGGGGTGCTCACAGCTGAGTATTGCCCATAGATGCTGGGCAGACAGACAGACAGACACACTGACACACAGTAACAGACCCCTGTGTGACATGGCCCCACACAGCTCCACATAGCCACAGACCAAGGTGTACACACAAAGACGGTCACTAACACGGAACATCACATGTTCCAAAAAAATCATGCAGCTATGGGTTCACAAACACAGGCCGGCACACAGCACAACCACGGCCCTTCCGCCAGGGCCACACGCTAGATCTGGGCAAACCAGCCTGCCATCAGGAGACACACCATGGCAGACAGCTGCACCCCAGCATTAGCAAAGTCACACCCAGTGAGAGCCCTGTAGCCCCAGTCACCCACCACTGCCATCCATGCCCAGACCCCATCCCCAGGCTGCTTCACCCAGCCATACATGTGCACAGCTGCACACGCAAGCCCAGATGGGGGCCGGAGAGGCTGAGTCCCCCCCGACTGCATCCCCTACCTGGTCCCACCAGCCCACTAGCCACGGCTTGGAGCAGGTCTCACAGAAGAAATCTACCAAGGGCATCTTGGAGCCTTAGCCCCGCTCAGGGCTGCCGCGCGAGCACACACACAGAGGCTGGGCTTGGGGAGTCCCGGGGGTTAACAGCCGGAGGAGGGGGTGCTGGGCAGGTGGGCAGTAGAAGGGGAGCCGCGGAGGGGCCTGGGCCGGCCCAGCAGGGCTGGGGGCTCCCTTCCCCTCCGCGCTCCCGGTGGCAGTCCTGGTTACATGGTCTGCCAGCCCCTGGCCCTGAAGGGCCCCCCCGCAGCAGCGGCTGGAGGTGGCTGGGAGCCCCTGCCCATGGGGGGACAGAGAGGGGGGTTTGGGGAGGGATGCTGCGGAGGCCCAGGACTCCGTGTGTGCTCCTGTGTGTTTGTGCGTGCTTACTGCAGCACTGGCAGGCTGCATGAGATGTCAGGTGGTGCTGGGGGGGGGCGTTAAAGGGGCATTGGAGTCCATGGCTATGGCCGGGAGCCAGGACAGGCTGTGGGGGATGGGTGGGAGGCATAGACATGCCCCCTCCATGGATACACACCCAGACACTCCATATGCACAGTTGTGGACAGCTTCACACCCAGACACCCAACACACTCACACCCAAACTCCCCAATGCATTCAGCTCTGCACTTCACACACACACAGAGAGCAACAGTCACAAACCCGGATGTCTGATGGGCAACTACACAGAGACACACCCCTTCCAAGACACAGACCTAATGTCAGACACACGTGGAGAAACACACTGAAAGACACACCCAGACACACTGACAGACACACCCACAGACACAGACAAACAGCTACCCAGACTTCTTTGGACACAAACATATACCCTGATAAGTACATACACAAAGACTCACACCAATGCTCAAGTCCACACACACACACACACGCGCACACACACACACGCACCATTGAAGAAACACACCCTCGGACCCACACCCACAGGTACACAATCAGCCTCAGCCTCACATGGCCCCAGACAAACCTCCTCTGGCAGATGTACACACCTCCAAAGACAGGCATACGCACCCCCCCAACACAGACACCCTCCTCCATCTGCAGATATACACACCCCTCAATAAGACACCCCCACTAGCACACTCATTTCCTCTCAGGCACCCACCCACCCACAAGGGCTGCCACCAGACGGTACAGCTGCAGGAAACACTGTTCACACCGCCTGCTCTCGGAGTGGTAGCCCCTGGAATAGTGTAGGGTCTGCACAGCTGGATAAGGAAAGCCTCACTCCCACCCCTGCAGTCCTGCCAACGCACCTACAGTCACAGGACACAGAGGTCTGGACCAATTCACACCTGTGGACATGCAAGCACACACCCATCCTCCCTCCACAGGTGTATATCTGCACTCCCACCTTTCCTGGGCCCTCTGGCCATACCCCAGCACTGCAAACACAAGAAAACCACATAGACTCACAACTACAGATAACACACCTGCAGACAGCCAGTCTCCACAAGCATAGGGTACCAACCCCCCAACCCACCCCTGGTAGAGCTGTCACCATGGACAGGTTATACTAGTACAACTCACATACACCACACACACCAGACTCTCACCCCTGGGAGAAGTCAACCATCTGCAGAAGCTACACATCCTTTAGTCCCGCCCCGGCCCCGCCCCGCCCTATCCAGGCCCCGCCCCACCCCGGCACACCTTGTGAGAGGCCATCTCGCTGACAGAGCGGTAGGTCTGCATGGTCTCCAGCTGTTCCAGACACCAGTCCAGTTCCTCCAGCGTCTCCCGGGCCAACTGCTGGCATGTCTCCTCTGGGGAAGGGGTGGCAGACTGTGACTGAGAGGATCCCCAGAGGTGCTGGCCCACAACAATGGGGATCCCTAGGTGAGTTGGGTGCTTGGAAAGGGGGTGGGGCAGCCATGCAGAGAAAGACCCTCCTTGTATTGGGGCAGCACAAAAGCTCCTTTGCCACCCCCTGGGCTCAGCTACCTGATAGTGTGGCTTTGCAGACGGTGGTTGGGCCGCCCAACGGGGACCTCCTGCAGAGAAACAAGCCCCAAGTCAGCTGGGGACCCCTCCACCTGAAACCCCAGGCACAGTACCCATTTTCCTTTGCTCCCTATGCCCCTGTGTCCCAAGCCTGTTGCCATGTTTGGTACTGGTGGCCTCTCACTGAGCCGCAGAACCCATTTTACAGATGAGGAAACTGAGGCTCAGGAGATGAAAGTCTCCTCAAAGTCACATGGTTGATCAGCAGAGCTAGATCCTGTGACTCCAAAGTCTATTTCCTTAGCTGCCACCCTCTGCTCCTTGAACCTTCTGAGAATGGCTCTGTCCCCAACCCCCAGGGAGGCCAGCAGTTTTCAGCATACCCCCAGGTTCCAAATAAGAACCCCTCCTTGGTCTTGCTGTAGGCTAAACACTGAACTGCTAACTGTAAAGTCAGCGTTTTAAACCCACCAGCCACTCAGCAGGAGAAAGATGAAGCTGTGTGCTTACATAAAGATTTACAGTCTGGGAAACCCTAGGTAAGAGCGTTACTCTGTCCTATATAGGGTCCCTTGGAGTCCTGTTGTGGTTCTGTAGGATAAGCACAAGGTCAAAGGTTCAAATACCAGCTGCTCCTCGGAAACCCTATACAGGGTTTCTATGAGTCCGAATAACTCAATGGCACTTAATACCAAACAAATATAGGGAGGAAGACCCCCAACGAGACGGATTGGCCAAGTGGCAGCATCGATGGACTCAAGCGTGGCAACAGTAGTGAGGTTGGTCCAGGATTGGACAGTGTTTCATTCTGCTGTGCATAAAGTCACTATGGGTTGGTGTCGACTCAATGGCACCTAACAACCACAATGATACAGGGTAAGGAACTATGGTAGTGTAGTGGTTACGAGTTGGGCTGCTAACCTCAAGGTCAGCAGTTCAAAACTCCCAGTCGTTCCGCGGGAGAAAGATGAGGCTTTCTGCTGCCATACCGATTTATAGCCTCGGAAAGCCTACACAGGGTTGCTATGAGTTGGAACCGACTGCACAGCACATTACCACCACCACCACGATACAGGGTCCCTATGAGTAAGAATAATGCCCTGGACTGCAAGGTCAGTTTGAGCTGGTTCAAACCCACCAGCCACTCCATGGGAACCCTATACAGGATCCCTATGAGTTGGAACTGACTCGACGGCACTTAAAAACAATGAGTAGGAATCAACTCAATGGCAGGGGTTCGATGTGCTGGCAGCGTTCTAGCACTTTTTTTTTGGTATATAACCATCATCTTGATCCACAGAGCAACCCTCAAATGCTACAGCTAGTTGGAGTCCCATGACAGAGAGGGGAAACAGGCACTGCACAAAGCCATTTGTCTGGCAAAGTGGCATCAATGCCAGGAATGCCCCCAGGCTGGGGCTGTTTGCCACAAGTGGCCAGACCTCCTACCATGTGCATCCTTGACCCTTTCTGTACAAAAGCTTCAGGGTCTCGGCTCTTGAACCAGGTAGCTGAGCTGGGTGTCTGCACTGAAGCTGCACAGTAAGTCTGTTAGCTGGGCCTGACCTCATGATCATGATGGGCACTGGGATCCAGCCGTAACTTACTTGTTGCTGGGAATGGGCACATTGGTCAGGAGCGAGAAGTTGCTGCGGACACTCCGGAGACTGGCCAGTACCTGGGATAGAAGAGCAGTGAGGCGAGATGTTGCCCCACCCCCACCCCCGCACCCCTTTGCCTGGTGCAGGGGAGAGCTGGGGAGGGGACTTACCTGGGCAAATGGTGTTACAATGAGGTCTTCAGCATGCCTAGAATCAAAAATGGAGACAAGTCAGATCCCTCCATAGCAAGGACCCTGAGTCCTCAGGAACCAGAGAAGCAACCACTCTGTGGGTATGACACTGGGGGTGTGGCTTGGGAGCAGGGCAGAGATTGGATTCGGGAACTTCACTAGGGTTCAGGAACTGGGTCTGAAAGAAGTGGTGGGAAGGGAGAGGGGCTCAGGTGGGCAGGTAGGCAGTGGCTGGGGGCAGAGACAAAGGGGGGTAAACATGCAGTGGTGGGGGAGGGTGCTTGGCAGGGCAGTAGGTGAGTCAGAGGCAGGGCCTGGGGCAGGTGGTTGGGTGAGTGGGGACAGGTGTGGTTGATGAGGAGAGGGGGCTTGGGAAAGGCTTGGTGAGAAAGGGTAGGAAATATCAGAACAACCGCACTGCCTTTGAGTGGATTCCAACTCAGCAGTTTTGTACAGGGTTTCCAAGGCTGTAAATCTTTACAGGAACAGAAAGCCTCATCTTTCCCCTGAGGAGCGGCTGGTGGGTTTGAACTGCTGACCTTGTGGTTAGCAGTCCAGTGCTTATCTGACAGTATCACCAGAGCTCCCTAAGGGCTAGGGAGGTAGGAGAAACTGGTTGGTGGTGGGCAGGGAGGGGACTCAAAGGGTCAGGGCTACAGGGATATTGTGGAGGGGAGGCGGGGGTGGGGAGCTGAGCCTGAGAGAGGAGTTCAGGGTGGATGTCGGGCAGAGATGGGGTGGGCGCATATGCTACAAAGCAACTGAGCAGGTGGTACACTGAGAGGGGGCTGCTTAACTCTTAGTGTGGAGGATAGGTTGTGAGGGGGGCTGGGCAGGGAAGGGTGGGCACCCACACTCCTTGCTGGGACTGGCAGGTTGGAGTAGTATGGCTGTGGGAGCTGGCGGGTAGGCTGGGGATGCTCACGCTTCGCTGGTGATCGACGAGTTACGGGACATGGTCTTGGGTGACATGTCGTAGTCGCTGTCTGAGCGGTAGAGGAAGGACTCTCGCCGCTGGCTGGAGGCCCCCCCAGCGTGCAGCACGAGGCCTGGGCTCGCCTGCGAGTCCAGGGGGCTGCGGCCGGGCGATGGTGTCGGCCCATTCTCTGCTGCCTCGTAGCTGCAAGGGACGGGAAGAGGGGCAGGGAGGCTGAGCTGGTGGTGGGGAAGTCAAGACAGAGGAGGGGACCAAGAGAGGCAGACACACCAAGACAGATGGGGGACAGGGTATTGCAGAGAACAGACAGTTACTGAGTGTCTGAAGCTGCTAGGGTCCATCTAGGTGCTGGGGATATAGCAGTGACCAAGACAGACCACCTAAAGAGATTCCTCAGGGAGATGACAAGAGGGGGCAGACAGGTTAACAGAACAGCAAAGCTACCCCAGGTCCTCTTTGGGTCTGTTCTTTCCCCAAATCCATTCAGAATCAAGGCCACTTTTGTACTCCTCAGTCAGTCTCCATTGCCTTCTGCCCATCCCCCCTACCCGCTCCCAGTCTTGTCATCTCCAATGGCCAGAGGAGCCTGTGAATGATCCCTTATCTGCTCACAACCTTCCATAGCTCCTATCTCACTTATAACAAAAGACTAAGTCCTCACAAAGTCCTACGCACTGCCCCACCACCTCCCTGATCAAGTCTCCCACCATTCTCCCTCTTGCTCACTTGGCTACAGCCACAATGGCCTCCTCCATGTTCCTTCAACACTCCAGATAGTTTCCAGCCCCAGGGCCTTTGCACAACTTTCTTGCCTCTGATAGCTACATGGCTCCTCCCTCTCTTTCTTCAGGTCTCAGTTCAAATGTCACCTCCTCAGGGAGGTCTTCCCTGACCAGAAGATACAAACACATTGCTGTCTAGTTGATGCTGACCCCATGTGTTGGAGCAGAATTGCTCCAAGGGATTTTATGGCTTCTTTTGCTTGGTAACCTTTATAAAAGCAGATTGGCCAGACCTTCCTTTGGGCATGCTCCTGCGTAGGTTTGAAACACCCATCTTTAGTGAAAACTGTTTGCGCCACCCAGGGCTCTGTCTTCTCTGACCAGCCCACCTAAAATCGCAAGCCCCACCCTGACATTTCATATTCCCCTTTTTTGAAGAAAAAAATAGGTGAAGTTTCACAATCTGACAGAAGGGGCTCTGATAGCATAGCGGGCTACCCATTTAATTGTTAACCTCAAGACTAGCAGTTCGAATCTACCAGCTGCTTCGCCTCAGAAACTCTATTCAGGATCGCTATGAGTCGGAACTGACTCCACAGCACACAACCACCACCTGACATACTCAATAACTTCCTTATCTTTACTGTTATTGTTGTTGTTGTTGTTAAGTGCCATAGAGTTGGTTCTGACTCATAGCGACCCTGTATAGGGTTTCCAAGGAGCAGCTGGTGAATTTGAACTGCCAATCTTGTGGTTCAAACCACATTATCCAGGTGTATTATTATCCTGCAGCGCTGTATCTGGACTCTCTTTACTGTTGTTGTTGTTGTTATGTGCCGTAGAGTCGGTTCCAACTCATAGCGACCCTGTACAGGGTTTCTGAGGCTGTAAATCTTTACAGGAGCAGAAAGTCTCATCTTTCTCCCGTGGAACAGCTGGTAGTTTCGAACTGCTGACCTTGCAGTTCGCAGGCCGATTCGTAACCACTACGCTATCAGAGCTCCTTTTTACTGTTAGCCTTTCCTTATAGAGGAATTTTGTCTGCATTGTTCACTGCTGGATCCCCAGGGCCTAGAAACAGGGCCTGGCACACAGTAGGTACCCAATATTTACTGAATTATTAATAAATGAATGAATGACTACATGAACTGGATTATGATGCTTTGTTTAGGCTCAAAATCACGTGGGATGACAGCCAGTTACTGGTCAGGTGATTTTAGCTGCAATGGCCAGGGTGGGCTTCTCTGAGGAAGAACCATCTTAGCAGGACCTGAAGGTGACACGGGGCTGATCCCAAGTCAGGAAGCAGGAAAGAGCACTCCAGATTGAGAGAAGAGCCAGTGCAAAGGCCCGGAGGCAGGAGATAGTTTGTTTCTGAGGAACATTAAGGAAGCTGTTGGGGGTGTGGCATACTAACAGAACAAGAGAGAGTTACAGCTAGAGAGTGAGAGGAGAGAGTGGGGCCCCAGCCTGGAGACACGAGCAAGACAGAAACCGCCCCCCCCCCACCAGGATGAGGCAGGGGGACCCTGGCTGTACTACTTCCCTTCGTGTGACAGGCAGTAAATAATTTCAGTGTCTTCATCCAGCAAATGTGGACAACCACTGCCTCCTTCTTCACATTGTCCAGGTGACCGGTATTAAGACAGGCAAAATACTTGGAACAGTACCTGGCATAAAACTCAAAAAACGTTGGTAGTTGTAAGTGTATCGGCTCCAAAAAATCCACTTGGGGAGTGAACTCAGCAAGGCAGCAGACAGAGATTGCTGAGTACCAGAGTAGGAAACTGTGAGTCTGTCCTGTGCTGTATGGCCTGCCTTCTCTGGTCTCTCTTACTCTGCCCTTCAAGGTGAACTGGCCAGTGGGCTTTAGGTTTGCCCTGTGTGTGGGGTGAGGAGGGACAGAAAACCTCCCTTTCCATTCCTACATGTCAAGAGTAATTTCTTTAAGTGGTCCGTCTGCTAAGAAATAAAACTTTGAAATCTCCTAGACCAAGACAGAGATACCAGCTTTCACACAGTGAACATTCCACCCCACCCCCCGCCCGAGGCCAGTCCTGGGGGAGTAGGGGACGGGTGCTTCATGGATATCATTTTCAGGATAAGGAAACTGAGGCTCAAAGAAGAAAACGACCAGCTCTAGGTCATAAAGCACAACTGTTGCAGAATCAGAACCCAAACCCATCTTCAGATTCTTAAATGTTAATTGCTTTGCAATTGACAGCACCTAGTAGCCCCCACCCCCACCCTGCCTACTGGACCCCCATTTCGGCAGGGACCAGGCAGCTGCCATAAAATGCAAAGTGGTGTTGAGGGCCCTGGGATGTCAGATGCTCCAATTTTCCAAGAAAAAAACAGAAATTCCTACTTTGAGTAGTCAAAAATTCAAACTTCTTAAACTGTTTAAGAAACACTGTGAGGCTTGTCCTCTACAAAAGATAATATCAAATAAATGAAAAACAAAACAAAATAAAAACAAAAATCACAAACCAGGAGAAAATATCTGGTAAGACTTGTATGTAGACTATATAAAGAACTCTTGATAATGAGTCCAGCGGACTAATGGACCACATGACGTATAATCTCCATGATCCTAGAAGAACAAGATGGTACCCGGTTACCTCTACCAACTGCTCTGAAAGGGGTCACGCTAGAAGGTCTTGGATAGATAACAGCCTACATTACTCTCAACAGAGTAGTTCACACGAAGAATGAAAGCATTCTTCTTGTGAATGGGGACCAGATAAGAAACTCATTGAAAGATTTAAAAAAAAAGTAGCAGGGTGAAAAAAAAAAAAAAATCAACATACAAAAATCAGTTGAATTCCTTTACAGTATAAAAGACAGTTCTGAAAGGAAATCAGGAAAGCAATACCATTTGCAATTTTACACACAAAAAAAATGGTTACTGCTGTTGAGTGCTATGGAGTCAGTTCCAACTCATAGCGAGCGGCTTTTGTATAGAGTTCCTGAGGCTTTTTTTTTTTTTTTAATCTTTACCGGAGCAGGAAGCCTCATTTTTCTCCCATGGGACAGTGGAACAAGTGGTTTTGTTAGCAGTCCAGTGCTTACTGCAGGGTGCCACTGCACTCCCATTTACAATGTTGTTGTTAGGTGTCTGAATCAGTGCCGATTCATAGCAATCCTATCACAACAGAACGAAGCACTGCCCGGTCCTGAAGCAACCTCACAATTATTATTGTATTTGAGCCCATCGCTGCTGCCACTGCCAATTCATCTTGTTGGAGGTCTCCTCTTTTTCTGTGACCCTCCATTTGACCTTCTCCAGGAACTGGTCCCTTCTGACAATATGTCCAAAGTATGAGAGATGAAGTCTGGTCATCCTGGCTTCCAGGGAGTTTTCTGACTACTTCGTCCAACACAAATGTGTTTGTTTTTTTGGCAGTCCATGATACTTTTAATATTCCCCTCCAACACCATAACTCAAATGCATCAGTTCTTCTAAGGTCTCCCTTATTCACTGTCCAGCTTTCACATGCATATGAGGTTACTGAAAATACTATGGCTTGGGTCAGGCGCACCTTAGTCCTCAAGCTAACATCTTTGCTCTAGAACACTATTTTTTTTTCCTCTTTTTTTTAATGTTTTATTGTGAATTATGTGATAGTTTACATGTAAGAACATTGGTTTTACATTCATTCTGTCGTCTCATTGCCATGGTTACAATCACCTCCATGCAATCCTTTCCTCGTGCCCACCAGGTCTTCAGCACACAGTCGCTCTCCCTCTCTGGATCTAAAGTCTCCAGCTGCTCCATCGCTCCACATCATCATCTCTGGCTCCATTTCAGGCATCACTGCTTCTCTGGGTAGGGTCCCGCTCTCTGCTCTTCTCCCTTGATGGTCCTAGGGACCTCTGCTCCTAGACTGAAAAGTTAATCACTCCCCTCCTTGCTATAAAACATCTACCTTTACATTTCCAACCCTCACAATCAGTCCTGATAACAATTATTCATTATTGTATCACAAGAGACCCGCCTGCATTTCATTGCATCAACCTTGCCTAGTCAGACTGAATACTACTCACTGGAGATTCTACCTTCCTCCAGGCCCTCTGGATCTAGGTTCCCTCTTGAAAGCTTGTAAGCCAGTCAATTCTTGCCTTTGTAGCCCCCCACCCCCCATTTTGGGTAGCCAATGTCCAAGTTGCCCATCCCTGTCTACTCTGTGTGTGGAGGGGGTGGGAATGATCTTGCTGTAAGGACTTGTTCCCTCTTTTGAGCTACTGCTTCCATAGGTGTAGGTCAAGTTTATCAAATTGTATGACAATACTTTTTTTTTTTTCCTCTTCTTTTTACTTCTGGTTGAGCTCTCTTAAGTGGTCTTGTGCAGCAGATTTACCTAATGCAATACTTTGTTTGATTTCCTGACTGCTGCTTCCCTGAGCATTGATGGTTGATGCAAGCAAAATGGCATCTTTGACAACTTCAATCTTTTCTCC